CCAAATCCCAAGTGTGGGACACTCTAGAAGTCCAATGATAGAGTTGCTCCAACAGATTGATGGCATTAAAATCAAACAAAATAAAGAGTATTGTTAGAAAATAAAAGAGAACTTAAGAGGCATAACGACCTAATGCAGCATCGGAACCTGGTTTGGATCCCGATTCTAAGGAACTGCAAAAAAACCCAATGTTGAGATGGAAAGTCTGAACAGAGATCAGGCATTAGGTGGAATTAAAAGAATTACTGTTCATTCTGTTGGCTAAAACAGTGGCATGCTGATTACACAAAAGAAAAAAAAAGTTCTCATCAGTTAGAGATACATACAGAAGTTTCTATGGGTAGAATGACACAACCTCTGGGGTTACTACAGATGAAAAAGAAGAAGAGCAAACAAAAGAGCAGAGGGCACACAGCGCAAAGCTGATCACTGTGGAAGCTGCTATGGACACCTGGTATTCTTGGTTCGTTTGTGTGTTTGTTTTAATTGCAACACTGTTTAAACCAAATCGCACCTCAAAATAAAGCCTTTTTCTTGGTTATAAGAAAAACAAAACCATACTTTCATGAAAAGACTAGTAACAAATGTTCACAGCAGCTTCATTCATAATTGTCTAAAACTGGAAGTAAGCAAACGTCCATCAACAGGAGAAAGGATACACAAACTTCAGTGTGTTCATACGATAGAATACATCTCAGCAATAAAGCAAAACTACTGGTGCTGCCAATAATACGGATAAATCTCAAAACTGTCATGCTGAGTTTGAGCCCTACACAAAAGGTTCCCACTATATGAGCCCATTTATATGAAGCTCTAGAGCAGGCAAATCTAATCTATGGCGGGAAGTAATCAGAGTAGTTGTTGTCTTTGGGAGGGGGAAGGCAGGTACTGCTTGGTAAGGAACATGAGGGAACTTTCTGGGGTAATGGTAATCTTCTAGCTGAAAACGGGTTTCGGATTATACAGGTGTGTGCATTTCTCAATACTCATCAAAGGGTACCCTTGAGATCTGTATATCTCATTGTATGTAAAGTCTACCTTAAAGGGGGAAAGAGAGTTATAAACAAATATTCACCTCTAATTAATGATAGAGGACATGCTTGGGGGAAAAGTACACTGACGCCTGCAACTTACTTTTGAACACATCCAAAAAAGATGGATTGATGGGTGGATGGATGGAGGGATAGAGTGATAGTAATATGTTAATGGTGGAATCTGGACGGTGAGTATAAAATTCTTTCAACTCTATGTGTGAAAATTTTCCTAATAAAATGTTGACAAAATAAAAAAGGGGGGGGACTGGGGAAAGGCGTTCAAAAGGTACAACTTCCAGCTAAAAGATAAATAAGCACTAGAGATGAAATGTACAACATGGTGACTATAGTTAACATTGCTATGTGATATACAGGAAAGTTGTTAAGAGGGTAAATCCTAGGGGAGCCTGGGTGGCTCAGTCGGTTGAAGTGTCTGACTCTTGGTTTTGGCTCAGATCGTGATATTGGGGTCCGTAAGGCTCGGCACTCAGCACAGAGTCTGCTTGTCCCTCTCTGTCTGCTCCTTCCCCCCTCTCATAAATAAATAAAATTTTAAAAATATTTTATTTATTTGAGAGAGAGAGAACATGTGCATGAGCAGGGGGAGAGAGAGAAGCAGACTCGCCACTGAGCAGGGAGCCCGATGCGGGGCTTGATCCCAGGACCCTGAGATCATGACCAAGAGTAGGCTGCTTAACTGACTGAGCCACCCAGGCACCCCTCACAAATAAATAAAATCTTTTTTTAAAAAAAAAGAGGGTAAATCCTACAAGTCTTTATCGCAAGGAGAAAACTTTTTTCCTTTCTTCTTTTTTTCTTTCTTTTCCACCGTATCTATATGAGATTGACATTAGCTGAACATACAGTGGTGATCATTTCACAATATATGTAAATCACAATATCATGCTGTACACCTTAAACTTATACAGTGATGAGAATCATTTGTCAGTAAAACTGGAAAAATAAATATAAATAAATAAAATTAAAAAGTGGACTGACGAAGGGCGCCCGGGTGGCACAGTGGGTTGAGTGACAGACTCTTCATTTCAGCTCAGGTCGTGATTTCAGAATCATGAGATTGAGCCCTGCCTCAGGTTCCATGCTCAGTGGGAGTCTGCTTAAGATTCTCTCCCAGGGATCCAGGAGTGCTGGGGTGCCCATGCCCCCGGGGCCAACCCTCAACCAATGGGGTGGATAGTTGCATCTTTTAGGCAGACAATACTGGAGATGTTCTGTGTACCTTCCAGGAGATCCTGGCAGGATTCTGACCCTACTGCCCACAGTGAGAACCATGATATATCCTTTTACAGACTTCTGCTTCTTTCCACCTGTGCTTCATGCCTGCATTCTTGGATCACTTCTCAGATCACCTGCACTCAAGCCCTTGTTTCATGTTTTGCTTCTAAAAGAACCCAAATTAAGACAATGGGTATCAGGATTGGCCTAAACAGCAGATCCTCAGGCTGTGAACCTATACCTGGATTTCTCATATCTATCAACAGCAACAGAACCCTAGAATTGGTGTTAAGTGGGTGGTGACACCCCACAGTATGCAAATATGAATTCTACGGTCCTCACCTGTGCCGGACTGACAGCAGGTACCGGCAGAAGAGGAGTTGGTGTCTACATCAGCTCTACCCCTGGAATGGGGGGGGAGGGGTACTGGTAATTCACAAGGATTGTGAAGTTGGCTGATTTTTATTAGCAGATTTGGAAGCTTTGAAGAAAGATTGCCTGATGGGATCAATATCCACTCCAGGCATTGTGTGATGCTGGAGGCTTCTGTGACTATCTTTAAAGAGACTATGTCTCCAGCTAGAAGGGTAAGGCTCAGGACTTAACCACGTGGGCACACTGGGAGAGGACCTTGAGGGATAGAATGTAAGGCCGGCCAGAGGGAAGTTTATTGACAGTGCACTCTCCCATGACCTGTGAGTTACCATCTTTTTTTTTTTTTTTTTAAGATTTTATTTATTTGCAGAGAGAGACACAGCAAGAGAGGGAACACAAGCAGGGGGAGTGGCAGAGGTAGAAGCAGGCTTCCCGTTGAGCAGGGAGCCCAATGCGGGACTCGATCCCAGGACCCCGGAATCATGACCTGAGCCGAAGGCAGACGCTTAACGACTGAGCCACCCAGGCGCCCCTGTGAGTTACTATCTTGACAAGGTACCTTAAGCCAGTTCCGATGCTGTTGGGAGCTGGCTCCTTGGAGCCGGAGCATGATATCGGCCTACGGGAAATGAGGTGGAGATGCCAGGATGGGCCTGGCATCCTGAGGAATGTGTGAGATGTCTCAAAGAGATGGAATGTAAAAATGGTGACCAGACAACCCACCATCTGACTATATCCCCCAGGACAGGCCAGAGAACGCTCCCTTCAGGAAGGAATGCACTACTGAGGAGGGCCCTGGCATCCTCGAGAAGCCCAGTGAGGCTGTCCTCTGTAGGCGAGGGATGACAGAAAATGCTGCCGTGGCACTGAGGATGACGAGACTCTGGCATCACCAGAGAGGGACCACACAATCACCACAATGACCAGCTAGGCCAGAGTGCAACCAGGGCGTGCCGACCTGTGGCAATCTCAGGCAAAGGCTCATAAACCACAGCACTTCCAGTGGGTGGGATGACTGGGTAACCAGCCAGTGTGCTGCCTGACGTGTCCAACAAGGAAAAAACAACCAAGAACTCACGAGTACTGCAATGGAAAATTGACTGAAGGGAGGGCTGGATGGATCCCCTGAGGAAGAACCCTGTGATGCCACTCCAGTACACACAATGAATAGTCCCCTAATCCTTCCCCAACAGAACTCGAGTACCTGGGGAACATGGCGCCCCAGAACCTCTGGGGACGGTTGGATCCACCTGAGCTGACATACCAGGGTATTCTGAAATGTAATGGCATTTACCGCTCTTTAGAAGACCGGGGAGAAAGGGAACCATGGCCCAAGTCCTTCTCTACATGGGTCTAACAAGTCAGAGGGCCTATCCTATGGTGATTTCCCTGGTCGTGAGCACGAATTCGGATGGTTCCCACACCGCAAGTCAGAGGCATTATGGAGGGAAGAGCCAAGTGGAAATCGTGGAAGTGCCCACTCCCCACCTCGATCCAAGATAAATCTGAGGCAAGCCCACAATTCCTCCTGGGATGGCAGATCCTCATATCCGCTCCACAAAGTCTCACAAAACATTCTCTTCATATCCCTATTCCTGTCACATGTGCGCCCCTGCAAAAAGCAGACAGATCACGGTGCAGGATGGTGGGCTACAAACTGAGCTAGGCGGCACCTGCCGTGTGGGTGTAGTATTATTACTGGAGAGTCAACGCAGCCCTGGCGCTTGGTCTGTGGCTAATGTTCTATTCTTTTCAAAACCATCAGTAGAAAGGATCAAAAGCAGCTTGTTTGTAAGTGGGCAGGAGAGCAGTACACATTCTCTTGTCCCAGGGCCCCCCTGACTGCCCCACTCTCTCCCGTGAGACACCCTGGTCATCAGCACATCCCATGGGCTGTCATGCTGGTCTGACAGATAGACAGCATCATGTTATTTGGATCCATGTTATTTGGATCATGTTATTTGGAAGCAGTGACAAGTTTCTGAAACTGAGGCTTAGAAAAAGCAGCACAGAGTGGAGTGATAGGGACAGCCACAGAAGCAGCATCACCTAAGAGACAGCTTCCAAATGGTGGCTGTCATGGCCAAGGTCAAGAGGGAAAATCCGCCTCCTGGCTCCAAAGTGACCCCTCTCAACATTGAAGGACCTGAGAGGACCCAGCTTAAAGGGCCAGCGTCCTTAGTATGTCTGAGCTGTGGTACCTCTGACAGAAGTAAGGCAACTGAGAAATGTCAGGGGACAAGGCAAGAGGGAAACTGTCTTCAGAGCTTATTCCCCCAAAATACAAACAACATAAAATTTGACCCGTGGGCAGATTCCACGCCTTCTAAATTAATTGGCACAGGAACGGAACACTGAAGAGCCATGGTTTTATTTCATACATGCAGGGCTGTGGTAGCATCAGTGTTTACAATGCATTACAATGCACAGAAACTTATAAAAGAAAAAGCAATTGCAGGCAAGGCAAGCACACACCTTCCCAAGACCCCTGTGTACATAATGCATATAATACTGGAGAAAAAAGACAGCAGCACAAACAAAATACCCTTGAACCAATTACACAGCAGAGACCTAATACTGTCCTACAGAACATTTTAAAAGATATTTATTTTGTGTAGATTATTTCAGTGGTAAATAAGCATTTCTTTAAGAAAACTAAACATAATACGAATACTTACGTCACCAAGTAAGGTGAACATTCCCCAGGTTTCCTAATACTCAGGACTAAAGATCATTATATTACATTACTTTATGCACATTCCTCAACCAGAACAAAGAAATAAAAGGAGCTCAGTGACATCACAAGTTATGGGTCATGCTGACCATATGAAGACAATACATCTTCAAGCCCTTCAGTAGGACTCTAGTAAAGCACCTATTCACTGGATCTGCATCCCCAGCACCCTGTATGCCCTTTCACTCACCCCAGAGGCCCAAGAGCCTGGAGAATTCCTGACATGAGCTGCTCGGCTCCAGAGTGGCAGAGACCCACCCTCCTAGGCTGCTAGTGCCCTCCGGTTGAGGGACAAGGGATTGAGGGGAGTGGAGAAGATAGGGATGGAAGGGTGTTTATACACATGGGCTTCCCAGATCCCTCAGCTCACAGAATAGAAAGACAGAGGGCTATTTCAGATGACTATACAACAAACTTTGTGCCAGAGCTAAGAGCCTTTCAAACATCCAGTGTCAGGGAAGCACCAGACACCAGACAAGCTGAAGAAGCAAAACAGCCACAGGGAAGGGTGATGATCAATACGGATGGGGAGGAAGTTGTGGATGACCTGCTATGGCTTATGCATTCTATTTTTATCAATGTTGTTATTTATTTATGCCTGTCTTGTTCCAAAAAGATTTTTGCCCAGCATTCCAAAAAGACGGTGGATGAAGAGCGTAAATTACAACGGAGCATAAATTACAACAGAAGCGGGAGGAAAATGGCAGAATGGAGGAGAAATGAACACAGCTTGGGACCAGCTCCCAATCCTCCAGGACTCACAGGCAGTTACAGATTTAATTCTGCCTCCTCAGCTCAGAGAAAAGTAAGTACATAGCCTTAAAAAAATAAAAATGTTTTAAAATTATAAAACAGTTCTTGAAAGTTAAAATCAGACCTAACTTTCTTTCCACAGAGAAAAGAATCATTTCAAGTGAATTTGAAATAGTATTTTGATGGTATTTAGCCTAAGGATAAAAATATATCTTAAACTGCATTCAGGTAAAACAAATGAACAAACAAAACTGCATCCAGTAGATTTCATCCTAGCAATCATATTTCATGGCTATTTTGAATCCATAATATATGTTAAGTAGGATAAAGTAAATAAGTAATTACATTGGCTGTTAGGAACCAAAATTTTCAGTGTAAAACAGAAACAAACATAAAATCTGAGAAAGTTAAGTAAAAACCCTGTAATCTGGGTTCTGCGAGAAATCTGTACCTTCCATTCAATTTTGCTGTGAAACTAAAACTGCTCTAAAAAATAAAGCTTGTTTTTTAAAAAGCTCATAATTTGCCATTTAAATTGGAAATACTAATATAACTTATAATTTTTTTCTTTCTAAAAAATATTTATTTCCTAGCAACAGCCACTGAAACAGCTTAGAAACGACACTAGCTAGTAACACTTAGCTCCTCTAGCACTTAAATTATGGCCTTTAAATATTTCCCACTCAAAGGAACCAGAGCTCCTTCAAGAAATTACTTAGTCCAAGTCTAGGACAGAATACATAGAAAATAAGCCTAAAACTATCAAAAACCATTACGGTATGATACAGAAGCAATTTCGCTCCAACTGGCCAAAGGTGGGAGATTTTGAGCAGCAAAAGATTTATCACTCAGGGGTGCCTGGGTGGCTCAGTCAGTTAAGCGTCTGCCTTCAGTTCAGGTCATGATCTCAGGGTCCTTGGATCAAGCCTGGCATCAGGCTCCCTGCTCACTGGGGTGTCTGCTTCTCCTTCTCCCTCTCCCTCTCCCTCTGTTCTCTCTCTCTTTCTATTTCTCAAATAAATAAATCTAAAAAAAAAAAGATTTATCACTTCAATGGACTGAAACACATCAGATCTATGAAAACAGCCAAATTCATGATATTCCCTCCCACCGCAAAGAAGAGATTATTGAACATCCTTGGAGTTTGCTGGGGCATCAACTCTTTATTCTGACAATTGATGAATAAAGGGGAAGAGTCTAGCATCTCTCTTACCTCTGTTACAGCCTTTTTCAGAGTAACCAACTGATGAGGAGAGTTCTTTTTAGAAGAACCACAGATGATGAAATTAAAAATCACCATTTTGGGGGCTGATGGCAGGATTATATTTCTGAGTGCTCCAAAAACTCTTTCAGAATTCAGAACAGAGATAAAAGAAGTTTCCATTGTCTCCTGAATATATAAAAGTTAAGTAATCAACTATTCCTGGAAAGCCTTCTTAGTACTCTGGCTCACTAAATTCTATAATGAGTGTAGCAAACTTTAAAAAAAAAAAAATCACAACTTTGGAATCCCTAGTGGAATAGTCAGGCAATAGTCATCAATGACTGCTGAAACATTAGATCAAAAGATGATGAGGAACTTTCCAGTGGAGGGATCAAGTTGACAACACTGGACCAATGGGTTTCACTGAAAGCAATGAAGTCATCCTGCCCAAAAAAGAAAAAAAGTTGAACCTGAATCTATCCAGCCTCTAACTGCAACTTTTATAGATCTCTAGCTCTACCAGTTCACAGACAATATGAGGGATAGTACAACACATTAATCACCACAATTCCAAAATGTAGGAAATACTAAGATAATATCCAGATAACTTAAACAAATAAATGACATAAAAAGGAGAGGATGTTTTATAGAGTTAGATTTAAGAAATATATCATATACAGTATATGGGTCTTATTTTAAGTCCTGATTCAAACAAAAGAACTATAAAGAGACATAATTCTTCAAGTAACCAAAGAACAGGATACCTGGGTGGTTCAGTCATTAAGCGTCTGCCTTTGGCTCAGGCCATGGTCCCAGGGTCCTGGGATCGAGTCCCACACTGGGCTCCCTGCTCAGCGGCAAGCCTGCTTCTCCCTCTCCCACTCCCCCTGCTTGTGTTCCCTCTCTTGCTGTGTCTCTCTCTGTCAAATGAATAAAATCTTAAAAAAAAAAAAAAAGAAAAAGAAACCAAAGAACAAACTAAACCCAAAGCTAGCAGAAAGAAGGAAATAATAAAAATCAGAGCAGAGATAAATGAAAGACAGAACAAACAAACAAACAAACAAAAATAAGGACAAAAATCAATGAAACTGAGAGTTTTTTTTTTTTTTAAAGATCAACAAAATCAACAAATCTTTAGCTAGATGAACTAAGAAAGAGAGAAGACTCAACTAAAATCAGAAATGAAAGAGGAAATATTACAACTGATGCCACAGAAATAAACAAGATTATAAGATACTACTATGAACAAGTGTATGCCAACAAATTGGGTAATCTAGAACAAATGAAAAAATTCCTAGAAACATACAACCTACCAAGACTGAATCACGAAGAAACAGAAAATCCGAGGAGACCAATAACTGGAAAGAAAATTGCATCAGTAACTGAAAATCACAAAGAAAAACCCAGGACCAGATGGCTTCACTAGAGAATTCTACCAAACATTTAAAGAAGAATTAACACCAATTTTCTTGAAACCTTTCCAAAAATCAAAGAGGAGAAAGGCTTCTAAACTCATTCTATAAGGCTAACACTACCTTAATACCTAAGTAAGACAAGACATAACAAGAAAACTAGAGACCAATATTTCTGATAAATATTGATGCAAATATCCTCAACAAAGTACCAGCAAACTGAATTCAACAACACATTAAAGGGACTGCACCACATGACCAAGTGAGATTTATTCCTGTAACACAAGTATGGTTCAACATATGAAAATCAATCAATGTAATACACCATGTTAACAGAATAAAGGACAAAAAACACATGATCATCTTAATTGAGGCAGAGACAGATTTGACAAGATTCAACGCCATTTCAATGACAAAACACTCAACAAACTAGGAGTAGAAGGAAATCACCTCAACATAAAAAAGGCCATATATGAAAGTCCAGTTAACATCATATTCAATGATGAAAGACCACAAGCTTTTCCTCTATGATCAGAAACAAGGCAAGAATGCCTGCTCTTACCACTTCTATTCAACGGAGTATTGGAAGTCTTAGCCAGAGCAACAAGGCAAGAAAAAGAAAAGATTCCATATACAAAAAAAAAAAAATTGTTATGACTAATAAACAAATTCAGCAAAACTGCAGAATACAAAATCAACAAATAAAAATCAGCTGCATTTACAATAGCATCAAAAAGAATAAAACGCTTAATAAACCTAACCAAGGAGGTGAGACTCATACACTGAAAACTACAAAACACTGCTGAAAGAGATAAATGGAAAGAGATCCTGTGTTCATAGATTAGAAGACTGAGTATTAAGATATCCATTCTACCCAGTGTGACCTATAGATTCAATGCAATCTCTATCAACACTCCACTGCATTTTTTTGCAGAAATAGAAAAATTCATATGGAATTTCAAGGAACCCCAAGTAGCCCAAACAATTTTGAAAAAGAACAAAGTTGGAAGACTCACACTTCCTGATTCCAAAAATATTACAAAGCTACAGTAATCAAAACAGTGCAGTACTGGTATAAAAACAGACAAATAGGGGTGCCTAGGTGGCTCAGTCAGTTAAGCATCTGCATTTGGCTCAGGTCATGATCTCGAGTCCTGGGACTGAGCCCTGTGTTGGGCTCCGTGCTCAGCAAGGAGTCTGCTTCTCCCTCTTCCTCTGCCCTTCCCCAACCCTGCTCATGCTCTTTCTCTCTCTCTCAAATAAATAAATAAAATCTTTAAAAACAAAAACAAAAACAGACAAATAGACCAATGGAATATAGTAGAGAGGCCAGAGATAAACCCTCATATTTATGCTCAAATGGTCTTCAACAAGGACTCTCGGACAACTCAACAGGGAATGGAGAGTCTCCTCAAGAAATGATGTTGGGAAAACTGGATATCCACATGCAAAAGAATAAAGCTGGACCCTTACCTTACACCATATATAAAAAGTAACTCAAAATGGATCAAAGACCTAAACATAAGACCCAATACTATAAAACTCTTAGAAGGAAACAAAGGGGAAAAGCTTTAACACTGAACTTACTCATTTTTTTTTTTTGGATATGACAGCAAAGCACAGGCAAAAAAATGAAAACAGACAAATAAGACATCAAACTTAAAAACTTTTGCACATCAAGGGACACAATCAATAGAGTGAAAAGTCAATTTTGGAATGAGAGAAAATATTTGCAAATCATATATCTGGTAAGGGGTTAATATCCAGAATATATAAAGACCTCCTATAACTCGGTAACAACAAAAATCAAATAACCTGATTTTTAAAATAGGCAAAAGACCTGAATGGACATTTCTCCAAAGATGATAGACTAATAGCTAATAAGCATAGGAAAAGATGCTCAATATCACTAATCATCAGAGAAATGCAAATCAAAACCACATTATCAAAAAAAAAAAAAGAAGTTTTGGTGGGAATGTAGAGAAACTGGAGCTCTTATGCACTGATGGGAGTGTAAAATGGTGCAACTGGTATGGAAAATAGTGAGGCGGTTCTGCAAAAAAGGAAAAATGGAACTAACATACGCTCCAACAATCCCATTTCTGTGTATGTACCCAAAAGAATAGAAATCAGGGCCTTGAAGAGATATATACACACCCATATTCGTAGCAGCACTATTCACAATAGACAATAGGTGGAAACACCCCAAATGTCCACTGATGGATGAATGGAACAAAATGTAGGCTATACAGACAATGGAACATTAGTCTTAAAAAGGAAGTCTTGTTGCATATTACAACATGGTTGAACATCGAGGATGTGATGCAAAGTGAAATAAGCTAGTCGCAAAAAGACAAATAATGTTTGATTCCACTTATATGAAGTACCCAGAGCAGTCAAATTCATAGAAACAGAAAGTAGAATGGTGGTTGCCAGCTGGTGGGGGGGGGGGAGTTATTGTTTAATGGGTGGGGTTCATGACAACGTAAATATACTTAACACTATTGAATTGCACACCTAAAAATCATTAAGATGATCAGTTTTACACTACGTTTTTTATCACAATAAAAAGACAATTGATGTAATCAGGAGAAACAGAACATGAATTCTCTACACAGTTACTTTCATTTAATCCCGTACTCAGATACAACTACTTAACCCTGAAACAGCAGAAAAACACACTTTTATTAAGAGGTAGAAGACCTGGCTTCCAGCGCCAGATCTCCTAACTAGGTATTAAATGATGTTAAAGAATTACCTTTATTGGATACAATGACATGGATGTGCTTTATTAAAAAGTACATTTGGGTGAAGTTATGTTTTCCTTTTTTAAAGAAAGATTTATTTATTTATTTGAAAGAGAGAGAGAAAGAGAGAGTGAGCATGGGGGGGGAGGGGCAGAAGGAGAGGGAGAGAGAATCTCAAGTATGAGCGCAGAGCCTGACATGGGGCTCGATCTCAGGACCCTGAGATCATGACCTGAGCTGAAATCAAGAATCTGATGCTCAACTGACTGAGCCACCCAGGCGCCTCTGAAGTTATGTTTTCTAAGATTTGCTTTAACATATTCCAGCCACAAAAGAAAAAAGAGTACCAGGCAGTGGTACATGAGAAAGTACAGTGAAATAGTCATAATTACTGAAGCTGCATGATGAACCTGGGGATTCAGTATACTATTCTCTCTGCTTTGTGAATATTTTTACTTTTTCACAATAAAAAGTTTAAAACAAAATAAAATAAGGGTGAGAAAAGGATGGCTGGATGTTTGGAAAGGATGACACAGCATTAATTTATTGAGATTTTATAACAACAGTATATTTCACATGCTATTGTTAATTTTTATTTATTTTTTATTTTTATTTTATTTTTTTAAAGATTTTATTTATTTATCTCACAGAGAGAGACATAGCGAGAGAGGGAACACAAGCAGGGAGGGGGAGTAGGAGAGGGAGAAGCAGGCTTCCCCGCAGTGCAGGGAGCCTGATGTGGGGCTTGATCCCAGGACCCTGGGATCATGACCTGAGCCGAAGGCAGATGCTTAACGACTGAGCCACCCAGGCGCCCTATTGTTAATTTTTAAAAAGCATTACATTTCATTTTAACTTGTGTTTAACAAATTAAAAAAAAGAAAGAAAGAAACAGAAAGGAAATTGGAAGAATTTTCAAGCTTCAAGTAAATGTTCCTCACCACCTCCCCCAGCCATAAACGAACAAAACAAAGAAGGTAAGTGAGTGGGGAACAGGGAACAGGTGCGAAGGGTACGTGGAGAGCAGCCTGCCAGAGCCACATCTGCACAGTAATGGACGGATTTCTGCTGGGAACAATTGCACCTCATCATGGGATATAAACCACGCACGGGAAGTTGCTGCTCAGTATTCCCGAGACACACAGGATGGCCCTGTCTTACTTCCAGGAGTAGAAAGAAATCAGTCAAGCAAGGACTTCAGAACAAGGATGAAGGGTACACAAGACCGCAAAATGACAGCCTTCAGGAGAAAGAAGAGACAAAGATGCAAGATAAAAAATAAGGAAGGAAGCTAATTTCATGAAGCTCAGAACACTGATGAAAAAAGATCCAAAAAGGTAGGCAAGTCAACCACCAGCAGCTGCACTTAAGGCTGGACGACAAATGGCATCAACTAGCAGAGCCTGGTGAGATCTAAACAAAAGGGAACAAGAAAGTCAACTGGAATGATCCAGAAAATGGGGTCAGGTCCCACGGAACGGAGAGGGTTTGGAAGAGCAGTCACCCTGAGGCCGGGAGGGTGGCCAGCGAGGAGCGTACTATGGGAGCTGGGCGGCAGCCCCGGGTGAAGCACTTCACCTCTCTGTAATCCCACCATCTGCAAGATGTATTCAAAGAAAGGGCAGGGTCCCTTCCTCAGTTCTGAGTAAGTTTGTTCTCCAAATACTCCTGGCTGCAAGGACGATTGAGCACAAGGGGATACAAAATAAGGAAACCACTGACATCTCAACTCAAAGACAGATTTTAAATTTCCCTGGAAGGCTCGCTGTCAGTATCTCGACTTCCTGCAAACAAGAAAGGGGGTCTCCACGATGGCCTAGGATTCTGTTATACACCAGGAAGACAGGAGGAAAATGAAGAAACTCCCTGCGGCCAGGCCCAGTGTGCACAGGCCAAGGGAAGCGGACCCCCAGCAGTTGCTGCTTTGACAGATCACCGGACCCTGGCCACAGGCAGCATGCTACCCACTCACACTCCCCAGGTTTGGCCACTCCATAAATTCTCTGGGCACCTGTGCCCAACACAGCTCCCTAGCGTGCCCCATGTGATGTTTAAATATTACCACCACCAACATGGGCCACGTGTACCTTACTTCACGTCTTAATACCAGCCCCACAAAACAATCTTGAGGTAGAGAGAATTATCCTCATTTTAGGGTGAGGGAAACTGAGGCTCAGTGAGGGCAAGTCATTTGCCAGATGCTGCCTGACCAATGAGCAGCAGGGCGAGCTTCTCCAGGCAGAGTGGTGTTTTTGTTCCCCGTTGAAGAAAGACTCCCAATTACAAATAAGTCAATGCTGAGCCGAGGTCCCCAGGCTTCTCAGTGAGGCCTTTTCCAACAGGAGAGCTTATTGACTGCTACCTCAGGGCTGAAGGGTCTCTTGCCTCTGGCACAAGAGGCTTGGCCAGCAGGGTGGGGTCACTCCAGAGGGTCCAGAGCCCAGCAGCATGGCGCTATGGTTCTATGGCCAGAGCCCTAGGACAATGCTGATGGGGTCAGGATGGGGTGAGGGATGGAGAGGAAGGTGTTGGCGTGGAAGTCACCCAGCAGGGAAGACAGTCCTGGCATTCCATAGCCAGGGCCCAGGGGGAGGGAGGGAAGGAAGGTCTCGCTGCCCTGCCAGAGCACAAAGTCCTGCCACTTCCCCATGAAACCTCAACTTACCCTGGTAGAGGGTGAACCCGTTTCTCACAAAACACACACCCAAACCTGGGTGGTGGGGGGAGTCCACTTTCTTGACTCTTCTTCCAACGTTACAGACATCCTACGCTGAAACAAGCCAACTCCCTTCCAGCCCTGAGAGACCATCAGGTTCTAGAGCCTTGTTCATTCTCTTTACACAGTTGCATGTGCTTGAGTCCTGCCCTCACTTGTCACAGTTCCTGCTCCTTAAGCATCGGACCGTGGACAGGGAGGCAGAAGACCTGGCTTCCGGCCAAGGGTCCCCTACATAACCTGTCATGTTGCCAGCATCCTGCTTCTCTCTGCCTCCGTTTGCTCACCTTCGAGGAGGAAAAAGCAGCTTATCCCTAATTACTTCACCCAAGTGTTCAATAAAAGGAGACCCGGGAGGCAAATCCCCTCTGAATTCCTAAGCAGCAGTACTATTACCAATGCCTACCACTGTGCTCATGTTTCTTTCCAACCCCCCACCCCCACCCCCAATCCCCAAGGCCCAGGAGTATGGGCAATAAAATAGCAGCACTGGAGGCCCAGAACAGCCCGAGCCCTGTGCCCCCGCGGGTTTGCCTGATGCCCTCAATAAAGGTGACTCTGACAGAACCACGAGGGAAAAGGAAACATTCCTCTCCAGCAGCCAGAGCGGCTTCCTTCTTGCCTGTCCTCCCAGATCACCTAGCAACACTGCCCCTTCCCCAGAAAGCTCTGGATCAATGATCCTGGGAACTGCCTAAGTCCTAAAGAGGGTTTAAAAACGCCAGTGTTCCTCTGTTCTGCTTTCTAGAGGTATCCTTTCAAGCAACCCCATGTTTCAGTTCAGCCTTGTGAGCTTTGCAGAGGAAGAGAGCTTACTCCACATCACCTGGAAAACAGATGCTCGTTCTTACATATGTGACTTGAGTGGCCTCACAGATACATATAAAAAAGTAACTGGCCATCTACAGAGTGAACCAGCCTGGACTTGCCAGGCAGCCCCAGCACAAATCACTGTTCAAGCCAGGCCTGAGACCAAGCGTGTATTGGCAGGGCTGGGCAGGAGAGGCTGAAGGGGGCAAAGCAGGCAACCCGCTCTAAGGAGGGATGGCTGGTGAAGGGCAAGGGCGCTGAAGAGGCGTACGAGGCAGGGCCCGGTTCAGGGAGCCCGCTGCAGGATGAGCTCCGTAATCTCCGCCCTGCTACCCAACCTCATGGGTATCCCATAGTAGGCTGTGCCTGGGCTGACATATACAAACGTAGTCTGGGCCACTTGGTAGAGGCCAGCAAAGAAGGGGTTCAAGAGATAGGCTGCCACGTTCAAGGGGAAGATTTGCCCAGCATGCGTGTGCCCAGAAAGAATCAGGTTAATATCTGGCCGAGCCTGCAGGGCTCTCTTGGCAGCCAGTGGCTGGTGAGCTAGCAAGATGGTGGTGTGGTCTGGGCTGCAGCCCCCCAGGGCCTTGACGAGATCCATGCCGTGGCCGGAGTAGTGCAGGATGTCTGCTTCGATATCGTCCACCCCAGCCAAGCAGATCCAGTCCTCCTCCTCTCCACCCCCGTGCTGGGCCCCCGCGGTGGAAATCTTCACGTTCTCATTGTGAAGGGGCTTGACGTTCAGGGATCCCAGCAGCGCAAACCAGTTGCTGACGTCCGACGTGTAGTATTCATGATTCCCCGTAACGAAGTAGGTGCCGAGGCGTGAGTGCAGCTGGCCCAAAGGAGCCACAGCTGTGCGGAGGATGGAGGCTTCGGCGTCACAGAGGTCACCCACGATCACTGTGACGTCTGGTTCCAGCATGTTCACCATCCTCACGAACATCTCCATCTTGGTCCTGCCCACCGTGGGGCCCAAGTGAATGTCTGAGAGGAGCACAATCTTGAGGCTGTCCATCGAGGGAGGCAGCTGCTGGATGGGCACCTCCACGGTTTTCACAGCTGGGGGCTGGGCGGCGTTCAGCAGCCCAAGCACGCTGAGCACGGCGGTCACTGCCACTGCCAGGGCCGGCCTGACGGCCAGCTTCCTTGTCTTGTCAAGGCTGCCCACGGCCCGACCACCGCGCCAGGCCAAGAGCTGGGAGGCCTGCTCCATGCCACTGAGGGTACACAGGAAGAAGAGCATGATGATGTATGCCCCAAGGCAGGAGTAGGCCGCCACGGAGAAGAGATAGGGCTCCTCGGCCACTAAAAAGAGCATGGTGAAGAAACTGGAATGGGCCAGGGCCAGAAATGCCACAACAGCCATCTTCCAAAGCTGAAAACAGGTGGACTCTGCGGCTGGGGAGTGGCTGAGGTTGCTGACTGTGCTACGCCAGATGTAGAGGGAGCCAATGAGCATGAGCGAATTGGCAAACAGGGCGAGCTGCAGGCGCAACAGCCAACGCCAGGCCCTGAGCTCGAGGCTCCCCGCCAGATAGGAGCGGGACACAATCATGGACACGAAGACAGTGCCGGCAGCCAGGGCAGCCTTTGCACCCAGGGACAGCTGCCTGAAGATCGCCATGTTCTCTGCTCCTAAAAGGGTCCCCTGCCAGTTCTGTGCGGGCAGGCTCAGGAAGGCGAGTTCCTTAGAAAGGACAGTGGCCAAGCAGAGGTTTCCAGGTCAGCTCCGCCTGCAACCAGGAACCGGCGTCAGCTTTGTGGGATATTAGAGCTTCCTTGTCCCCATTCAAAACCTGAAGGCCACTCATATCTACCCAACCCTCCTTGAATCCAAGCCACTCAAATGCCAGTCAGTTGCTACACTTTATTATTAAAATACAAACAGAGTGGATTGTCACGTGGTGGGCAGTTTTCGTTTTCCTACTGATAGTTTTCTGAATGTTTAAAAAAGTTTTTCCACAGAGCATATGAACTTTTTTTTTATAATAAGAAAAACGTTATTCTAAATTAGCGGTTCTCAAAGTGTGGTCCGGGGAGACCCTTTCAGGAGGTACATTTACTCAAAATTATGTTCATAATAATACTAAGCTATAACTGTCTTTTGCACTCTCATTCTCTCATGAGCGTAGAGTGGGGTTTTCCAGAGGCTCAGTGACATGTGATGTGGCAAGACTGACTGTTCCCGGCTATCATCTATTAGGACAGGTGCGAAAGAGGTTTGCAAAAATGTAAAACAGTGCCACTCTTCCCCCTCAAGTTTGGGGAGAAATACTGTTATTTTTCAAAAGATATAGTTTGTTAACATATAATGATTTATTATTTCTTAAATAAAATAATAAATATTTAAAATTTTTCTATTTTAATTTCTAGGACAGTTAAAGTGTGAGAACCGCTGTTCTATATACGTGTAAACAAGGAAATCGTGGAAATCTAGTTTGCTGGTATCTTTCCGAAGCTCTGGGCCCAGGAAGGACACCTAGACACCTGACATAAGAATTCCTGGGGTGAAGCCGGCCTCCCTGCGTAGGCTCTGGGCACCCCCCTGCTGGATGATGCTGCACAACCGTTTTCCAGGGGGCTGCCCTTCCCACCAGCTCCCCATTCATAAACCCTGATCTCTCTCCTCCCACAACCCTCCCAGATATTGGACCTGCCACCACCCCCCATTTTCTCTGCCACTGTTCCCTGCAACAGTTCCCCAACTCCACCCTGGCCAGTGGTTCTCACAGCTGGGTAGCTCTCACCCCGAGGACGCGTGCGCGCGCGCACACACACACACACACAAAATGGGGCAGGGAAACCAGAAACGGAGGCAGACAGAAGTTAGCAAACACTCAATTTGAGATGACCTTTCCCTAGAACCCCAAATTAAGCTATTTTCAGCAGCTGTTTTTCAACTACTTAAAATTTTCAACTTTGATTCTAGATAAATCCATGACTTTTCTCTAAGCACTCGCTGAAAGCCTTTTATCAAGGGATGCAATTTACAAGTAAACGGGCCCAAATTTCCCCTCCTTCTACTGAAAACACGCCCTAGCATCAGCCCACCCAAACTTTGGGGGAACCACAGTCGGTTCGCTAAACATGCAGAGGGGCAGGTGCCCATTTCAATTACTGCCCCCCCGCATCTGTCCACGACTGTTATGCTGACCTCCCCAGGCAGCGGTCTGGAGGCCCGTCGGGCCCATGCTTTAGCTCTGACTAGTTAACTGAGACTGTCCTCCCGCCAATTTTGCACTCCCTCACCACCTCACCTACTTGCTCCGCCGGACCCCCCTCCAGCAACGCTGGCTGCCACCTGCAGCCTATCTCTTGCCCACCCTTGGCCTGCACCGCCAAACCCTGAAGATCGGGAAAATCCAAGCCAAAAAAGTAGGCATCAAAGAGTGGCGAGAAGGGGACGAGATGTCTGAAAAGAGAACACCTCGAAGGAATCAATCCAACGTTCCCATCGCGGGGGCCTCATCTGACCCCATTTTTCTCCTTCCGGAGCGCTCCGCAGCACCCGAACTGGTCAAGGGAGGGCGCCTCAAACCACAGACCAAGGCGCCCTCCAATGCCGAGCGCTCCTTGGAATCCCCCTCCCGGAAAACTGCAAAGCTGGAAAGGTTTGGGCGCACCTTATCTCGCCCCGTCCTTGCACCAACGGGGAAGTGGATCCGAGCGAAAGGGGCGATCGGGGCTGAGCACGCGAGCGACAGAGCTTACCGGGAAGGACGCGCGCCCCGCCCGGCCCGCCCCCGACGGGAGGGCCGGTCCACTGCCTGCGCTCCTCCAGCTGCCTGCCTGCCGGGGCGCGCTCCGGGGTCCCAGGCCCACGCCCTGCAGGGCCCCCGGGAGGCCGCAGCCCCCGCCCGGTCCCCCGCCAGCCTGCCCCCTATCAGTGTGCCCCCGCGCGGGGTCCTGTGGACTTACGCGCAAGCCGCGCGCAGAACCCAGCAGCAGCGGCACCAGCAGTAGAGAGAGAATGCGAACCACCCCCCGCAAGTCCATTCTCCAGCCTCTCTGCTCCGCAGTCTGCGCGCGGGCCAGCCGCTCCGCGTCACTTGACTGAGGACCCGTGGCCTGGCACCGCCCCTTACCGGCCCTGCTACCGGCCCCACGCCTGCTCCGCCCCTCGCTCCGCCCCGCGACCGCGGAGCCGTGGGCGGGGGCAGGGAGGGGCCTGGGCGAACCCGGGGGCCGCGGGCGGTCGCGTGACTCCGGGATAGTGTCATCTGGATTTTGCTGGCAGCTGCCGCGGGGAGGGACCCTTTGGACAGGCAATCAGGAGGCCTGACTGTCAGCAGCTTGATAACGCGCCCCGGGGCTGGACTTTAACAAGGGTCTCCTTGCTCCCTTGCCTTGAGAGGACAGAAGGGGAAGTTGAGACCAGATACACCTAAGCGGAGGAGATAGAATGCTAGCCCTGCGTCCGGGGCTCTCCGCAAGACTAATCCAGGGGTCCGCAAAGTGTGGCCCCTGGACCAACTGTATACCTGGTATTTGTCGGAAATGAAAGTTCCAGGGCGTCACCCAGAAACGCTCAATCAGAAACTCTAGGAACGGGGTACAGAAATCTGCATTTTTACAAATGTTCCAGGTTATTCCAGTGAGAATTTGAGAACCACTGTGCTAGGTTACTAGTTTTAGAGGTATGGTTCAACCGTGACAAAATTTGAATACCAACCCGCAAAGCACCCGGATTTGCAGAATTTCTACTTCATGGTTGGGTTTTGAGAGGTAAGAGAAGCAACACCTCCCACCTTTCAATTTTGCACATGAGTCTCCCAGCATCCTTGCAATGCAGGGAATCTGTCAAATGGGTGTGAAATAGCATTATATCTTTTTACACTTGGAAAGAAAAAGTCTCTGCAGCCTCAGTTAACAGAATCTTTTCCCGGCTGGTTCCCCAGGAGCTCTGAAAATCCCACTTCCCTTCACTGACACTGCAAGAGTCTCACCTTTAATGGAAACTGAGTTTCAGAGGGAAATCGCTTCTATTTTCTTTCCTTCCGTTTATTTATTTATTTAAAGTTTTAATTTTAATTCCAGTTAGTTAACATAGTGTTATATTAGTTTGGGTGTACAGTATAGTGATTCAACACTTTCATACATCACCCTGTGCTCATCACTACGAGTGAGCTCCTACTCCCCATCACCTAGTTAACCTACCCCCGCACCCCCTCTGCTCTGGTAACCATCAAATTGTTCTCTAGAATTAAGAGTCTGTTTCTTGCTTTGTCTCTCTTATTTTTTTCCCTTTGCTTGTTTGTTTTGTTTCTTAAATTCCACATATGAGTGAAATCATACGGTATTTGTCTTTCTGACTGACTTATTTTGCTTAGCACTGTACTCTCTAGCTCTATCCATGTTGTTGCAAATGGCAAGATTTCATTCTTTATTTATTATGGCTGAATAATATTCCATTATATATATACACCACATCTTCTTTATCTATCAATCGATGGACACTTGGGCTGTTTCCATATCTTGGCCATTGTAAATAATGCACTTATAAACATAGGGGTGCATGTATCCCTTTGAATCAGTGCTCATGTATTCTTGAGTGAATACCTAGTAGTGCAGTTGCTGGATCATAAGGTTGTTCTAGTTTGCATTTCTCTATATATGTGTGTATGTATATATATAAAACTTTTAAATATATACATATATTTAATTCTTTCCAGCTTTATTAGTTATAATTGACAGCACAAAATTCTTTTAAATATTATATTTTGCTAACTCCTTATTTTGAAAAATAAAATGTAAGGTTAAATTATGCTATTAACAGATTCCCTCCTGAACTAAACTTTAGTTAGGCTCCTCCTGTCCTTGCCAGGCCTGCATTGCCTTGTCTTAGCAAAGAATCCTGCTTAGTCAGTTTAGGGAAAATTCCCTGACTCTTGATACCCGATCAAGTTCCTCATCCCCTGACTTTGACTTCTAAGTCTTTGACCTGCCCTTAGCAAGAATTTTCTGATATCCCCTGTTGTAATTTTCTACCCACAACCCCCTCACTCTGCTGGTAAGCTATAAATCCCCAGCTGTCTTTGTTTTTGCTCTACTTAGAATTGAAACCTAAAAAATAGAAAGAAAGAATTGAAACCTATCTCTCTCCCCTATTACAACATCTTTTTTTTTTTAAGGTTTTATTTATTTATGAGAGAGAGAGAGCGCGAGTGAGGGGAGGGGCAGAAGGAGAAGCAGATTCCCCACTGAACAGGGAGCCTGACACGTGGTTCCATCACGGATCCCAAGACCCAGAGATCATGACCTGAGCCAAGGCAGACGCTTCACTTACTGAGCCAACCAGCTACCCCACATTACATCTTGAAGGAAGTCTTCCTTACCATTTTAACAAGTGTCAGAATAATTTTTTCTTTAACACTAGTTTGTACAACTTGTGGATCCTTAAAAAAACCTCAATTTGGTTTTTAAACGCCAGGAGAAATGACTATAGAAGTCAAGAATAGTGGTTACTTAGGGGGGTGAGGAGCTGAGATTGGGACCCAGGCCACGCAGGGGCTTTTGGGGGCTGGGAGGCAAGAGAGTTTTGTTTCTTGAACTGAAGGGTGGTTACAAGGGTTTTCTCCATAATATAACTCATTAAGTCATGTATTTGTTTTGTGTCACTTTCTGTATCTATTTTTTTTTTTAAGATTTTATTTATTTATCTGAGAGAGAGAGAATGAGAGAGAGCGAGTACATGAGACAGGGAAGGGTCAGAGGGAGAAGCAGACTCCCCGCCGAACAGGGAGCCCGATGCGGGACTCAATCCAGGGACTCCAGGATCATGACCTGAGCCGAAGGCAGTCGCCCAACCGAGCCACCCAGGTGCCCACTTCTGTATCTATTTTTAAAATAAGTTAAAAAGTTATATTTTACTTTTAAAAATGTTTCAAAAACCTTTTGTATTGTGTAACAAAATAGCTAAAATTCCATTTGTTCATGCCTTTCTCTTTTCCCACTGGGCATTTCCTTGAGAAACTGAGAAATAGTCACTGGCTCTCCCTTCTCAGGTTCTTCTCATGCCTGAAACACCGACTGCTTCTCCTTGTATGGTGAAGTCCTTTTCAAACCCTGCAACCTGGGTCCAGTACTGAAAAGCAAGGGCTTTGGAAGCTGACACACCTGAATTAAAATTCCAACTATGCCACTTAGTATCTGTGTGACTGTGGGCAAGTTACTTAACTTCTCTGAGCTTCAGTTCCTTCATTGGTAAAATAGTACCATTCTTCACTGGTAAATTGGTAAATCATTTTACTTCATTGGTAAAATAATATCAAACTCACAGGGTAGTTGGGGAAGTTAGCAGAGGTGATGACTACAAGACATTTGGCACATACAGAGTGTTAGTAGGACAGTTGATGAAGTCAGAATTAGGCCTGTAAGTTAATTTCTTGAGTTCGATAAGGGTACAAAGTCTGAAGATTAAATAATAGTTTTGTATTAATTTATTGATTTGGATACTCACACTGTGGTTATATAAGAGGATGTCTTTGTTTTTAGGAAACAAAAGGGCATCACCTTTGCAACTCTCAAACAGTTCAGGAAAAATGAGTATATACATACACGTGGAACAATAAAGCAAATATGATAAAATGTTGACATTTGGGGATTCAAACAAGGAATTCTTTGTATTGTTTTTTCAACTTTTTTCTAAGTCTGAGTTATTGCAAAATGAAGTTAAAATTTAAAAAAAAAAATCCTTAGCACATGGCAGATTCAGTTTTTCCCACTTTCCCAGCTTATAGGCCCAAGGTGATAATATACAGCAGGCATTCTTAACTGAATTGAGGCACAGGGGTTGACAAAGCCCAGCTGCTCAGATCTGGCCTGCTGCCTATTTTTGTATGGCCTGTTTGTTAAGAATTATGTTTGTATTTTTAAATGGTTGGGGGGAAAAAATCAAAAGAAGAATGATATTTTGTGACATTCGAAAACAGTATGAGATTCCAGTGTCGGTGTCCACAAGTAAAACTGTATTCGAACACAGCCACTTCCCATCCTCCACGTTTTGTGTATAACTGCTTTTGCATACCGGCAGAGGGGAGTCATCCAAACGGAGCCCTTAAGGCCCACGAAACCTACAAGGTGTTTTATCTGGCACTTTACAGTAAAAGCTTGCCCAGGGAGTATGGATTGCAGTTTGTTTCTGAGATTTGAGTACTTGCCTTTGTGTTGTAGTAGAGCTGACTGCTTTATCAGCAGTCAGTGTCACTTCTGCCTCACAATCCAAGTTGCATGTTGTTACCCACATTTCACGGAAGAGGAAACTGAGGCACGGAGGAGTTAAATGACTCGCCACAGAGCTAGACGGTAATGGAGGCTCTAAAGTCATATTGCCTGACTTTAGAACATGAGTTATTTTTACAAAGCTGGGCTTCTGGCTATATTTTTTAGTTCCTGTTCAAGTGTGCACATAGAGTTTGCTGGGATATAAAGCCTCCTGCTCCGGGTTGTGGGGGATATGAAATGACCACGAGAAGTCTGTTGCCCTCTAGGGATAGGGACTCCTGTCCAGTGAGAAAGATGTTCACATACACAATTAAATATGGTGCATGCTAGGGACGCCTGGGTGGCTCAGTCAGTTAAGCATCTGCCTTTGGCTCAGGTCATGATCCCAGGGTCCTGGATTGAGTCCCTCATCGGGCTCCCTGCTCAGCGGGGAGTCTGCTTCTCTCTGTCCCTCTGCCCCTCCCCCCTGCTCATGCTCTTCGTCTCTTTCTGTCTTTGTCTCTCTTTCTCTCACTCTCTCAAATATATAAATAAAATCTTAAAAAAAAAAAACTATAGGGACGTCTGAGTGGCTCAGTCAGTTAAGCATCCGCCTTTGGCTCAGGTCATGATCTCAGGGTCCTGGGATCGAGTCCTGCATTGGGCTCCTCACTCAGCAGAGAGCCTGCTTCTCCCTCGGCCCCCCTGCTTGTGCTCGCTCTTTCTCTCACAAATAAATAAATAAAATGTTTAAAATAGAAATATGGTGCATGCTTTAATATAGACCAGTGATACTCAGTGTGGTCCGAGTACCAGTGGCGTGAAATAGGTTCAGAAATTCAGAGTAGGTCTT